TATTTTTCGTGTGGCCATGAATTAATTTTACTTTCTCCTTTCACTCAAAGTGAATGTAATCGCTTTGTGATGAAGCCTTACCTTACCTCATAGAAGATATAAATATTTGTACTATACACCCGTATTTCTATTATACATATTAGTCTTTTAGATTTTTTGCAATCGCAATCCCACAGACGAAATGCGACACGATTAATCGTGTCGTATTTTTTTCATTATTATTTCCTATACAATATTATTAATTCCCTCTTCTGTCATAAACTATTGCAACGTCATATTAAGCTGTATATTAAAAACTTCCAAAGCTTTGTTTATATGTATGTACTGTTACATGATATTTGTACAGGCAGTTTTTCAGAAAAAAGTAAGTACTGTTCCTCTGGCCTCTAAGTACATAAGAAATGTGGGGTCTGTTGACGTTTTTACATATAATTGTACCTGCCAATTTGCAATAGTTAATTCTTACATCAGACTCATATCCCAACCAATCACTATAGCTATGTATAGCTATAATAAGAAGCCTATACCACTTTCCAGCTCATAAAGTACGACTGTGACATACAACGCATTTATAATACCAGAGGATCTGTTTGATATTTGCAATATCAGTTTATTTTTAAAAAATAAAGGGTTAACTCAATAAAAAAGGCATATTTATATAATACTAGCGGCTCACCCTCGCTTCACTCGGGTTCGCCTCTAGGAAAATAAAAATAAACCTGTCCCACGAGAACCGTACATTTTTCCGGGATAAAAAGTAGCCTATGTATTATTCCAGACTATAATCTATCTCTGTGCCAAATTTCCTCCAGATCCGTTCAGCCGTTCTGGCGTGAAAGAGTAACATACTCAGAAACTTTCACATTTATAATATTAAAAAATACGGATTGTTGCATACATAGCTATAGAACTGGTCATATTATTTTCCAAACAAAAGGGATATCATAGGGTGACATTTTTTGGGTGTTTCTTTTTTACTGAACGCGAATACCACAGGCTATTTATTCATGCCTTATTTGAGTTTTGGTCTTATTTTGTCGTTACAACTTTTTTAGTTTAAATATTTTTAAGGTTATATCTCGCATCTAAATTTGAGATATTTTTTTCGAAGCCCAATTGTTTTTTACTAACTTTTAAACTATAACCTATACATTAAAATGGTAGATAATTGGCAAAAATCAAAAATCAAAAATAATCACACAAGAACAACACACCCTCAATTGAATAAATATTAAATACCTATCTATGTACTTACTGAAATCAAAATGTTCTTTCAGAAATATAAAAATCTTAAATATACCATGTAAATTATGCAAAGACATTTCTAGAAGAATAAACTCACTAGACTCATCTTATTGTACAGCGTTCGTGCAGCAGCTTGCACTTCAATAACAAACGCTTAGCTGACAATTATGTATTGTTTATTTGGACTACACGAGCAAGCGTTTATTATTTAACTATTTCTGCTAGCGACTTTCCATATGTGTGTTTCATTTTATTTGCAAATAATTTGCATTAAAAAAACTTTTTAACAAAAAAATAAAAACCGACTTCAAACAAAAGCACTAAAAAGTAATAAATAACTGATTGGTAGTTTTCATTTACTATACATACCTAATCAAATATTTTCGAAGTCAGTGTGCTTTGCTTTGTATGGGCTGGCACCGATTTCGAAAATATTGGATTAGGTATGTATTTAATAGGTAGGCTTTAATTACTTAGCCAAAGCACACCGACTTCGAAAATATTTGATTAGGTATGTATAGTAAATGAAAACTACCAATCAGTTATTTATTACTTTTTAGTGCTTTTGTTTGAAGTCGGTTTTTATTTTTTTGTTAAAAAGTTTTTATTTTTCCCTTTTTAGTGTAGACAGTAGTAGAAAAGTAAGGATTCTAACGTGTTAGGCTTGTCAAATCAAACAAAATAAGCCCAAACTCAAAGTATCTACTGTTAGCCGTTGAAGAGTTTCACCATCCACCTTCTGGCCTTGCCATCAGATCAGGTCAACAACACCGAACTATGTACTATCAACGGAAATAGAAATACTTGCAAAGTTTCAAGTCAATATGACAATTAGAAGTAGGTTAAATTCATCATTCGTTGTTTTTCCACCCTTAGGGGTGGTATTTTTTTTTGAAATTTAAATGGGACCAATCTGGAAGTATATCCTTTCAAAGGACACAAAAATTGTCCAAATCGGTTAATAAATGACGGAGTTCTGAGGTAACAAACATAAAAAAAAAAAAAAAAAAACATACAGTCGAATTGAGAACCTCCTCCTTTTTGAAGTCCGTTGAAAATAACCATTGTTCTATACTAGTAGTAGTAGTAGACAGTAAGCTGTATATAATAAAACGTTCAAATTAAATCAGCTTAGGTATCGTTACAAGATACAAGTATGAACAAATTAACAAAAAAATGTTTACATTTTTTTATAAATAGAGAACAGGATTCATCCAAAAATTTATTGCTAATTTTACTTTATTATTATAAACAGCGACTTACCATCGCTTCACTCGGATGTGCCCTAACCAGCGCTGTCAAGTGGAGGGTAAACTACCCGAAAAGCGGGTAATTTTAGGCGATTTTTGATGGTGGGTAATTTGACAGGGATTTTTATGGAATTGAATGAAACATTGAATGAATTTAATAATTTAAAGCTGTTATTGAGAACTGATTACAATGACTTCTTTTTCCAACATTAATACTTTCTTTAATTTTATATAAAACATGAATAAATTACTTAAAAAAACTATTTTTGGGTATTCTGCTCATGGTTGGCGTCAGCGGGATAAACCGGGTATTTTGAGGTTTATTGGTTGTGTAAATCAATGACTGTTATATGGCAGCCCTGGCCCTAATAGTAGCCTGAGTGTTACTCCAGGTACTCTATCTGTCACCCCAAACGTGCGTTCACCTTCTCGTTGTGGGGGGACTCAGTAGTGCCCAGCGATCCAGCCGGGCGCGAAGCCAAGAAACGCGCAGGGAGGTGGCCCACTTCGGTGGGTGGTGTGCTATGGGGGTTGCTCCTGGTACTTCTGGACAGTGGAGCAACCCCACGGTTGATGTGATCTGCATTGACAGACCTGCCATCGGGGAATCTTGTTTGAGTGCGTAAGTCATCCTGCGACGCCCTATTAAGGCGGAGGAGGTTTTGTTGGGTTTTAGTGGGTAGTACTGGCTTTACCGGTGAGTCCCACACCTCTAAAAATTTACTCGATGTGTACTAAATCTCATCCAAATTCGTTCAGCCGTTTCAGCGTAACTGATTAACAAACATACTCATGTTTAGACCAGACTCATATCCCAAAATAACGGTGCATACGGTATAAAAACAAACCAGTTCCTAAAAATATTATATACAGGCAACAACACGATTTTGCCAAAATTTTATATATAGCTAATAGATTTAAATATCTTTTCATATTCTTTAATTGAGTAGAAACGTGAGTATCTTTGTACGAACGAACGGTCCCTTTAATAAAAGAATATTATTTTTCGATATCTCGTTTGAAATCATTAGGATTTATTATATTTTCAGCAATAAAAAATGTTACAATTTTTATTGGAGTTTAGCGACCCGCTCTTTTATGTCATGATTATATTTGAATTTGAATAAACATTAAGGCAATTTATATGAAATTAATTATATTCAATCGAATCCACTTTAACTAAATTAAAAATAAATATATTCAGATCTCTTAAAGGTAATTTAAGATAAATTTTACTATAATATCTTTAACTGCTTCTGTGGTGTAGTGGCTAGCATGTACGGCTGCACACCCGGAGGTCCTGGGTTCGAGTCCCGGATCGGGCCAAGCCTAGTTATTGAGTCTTTCTGTATAGTAAGTCTCAGTAATAGCCCGGATTTGGGAAGTTGAAGGTGTTTCACCCCCGTGCCTCGGAGAGCACGTAAAGCCGTCGGTCCTGCGCCTTAACTCTCACCGGTCGTGTCTCGTGTCGTCCCACCGGAGTATGAGAGTGACAGGAATAGAGAGTGCACGTTGTGTCTGCGCGTACACTTGTGCACTATAATATCTCCTGCGCAGTTGGCTAGTTTCAATGAGATTGGCCGCCGTGGCCGGAATCGGACAGAAGAACATCATCTTTAAATATCTGTCCAATCTTATGAAAATAAGATGACGACAATATATCGCATATGCTGGAGAATTTCATTAGATATTGCTTAGATATTATTTTAATGTAACCCCACGGGATAGCGGAAAGGAGTAAAAGAATACATATAATAGTTCTGATTTTTGATTTAATGGCACGTGAACTTAAAGAAACGTAAAGGAAATAATATAAAAGTGAATTAAAAACATCAAATGTATGCAATATTAGAATTTATTTTTCACATGAAAAATATTTACCTATTTTATAATTTTACAACACTTTAATACAAATATCTTAGTGCTAACTTAACTAAATAATATCACATATCATCAGCGACGTCGAACATTATAATAGTAATACGAAAGGGACATTCATAATGTCCACAGTTTTGGCAAAGTATCATAAACTTACAGATACAGTCATTAAAACTATAAACTATAATCATATTCTGTAACACAAATAATTTCAAAGTTGATCCATACCAAACAGCTATCTGTATGTATGTATGTATTCAGCCCTTTTTAACGTCTCACTGCTGGGCACGGGCCTCCCTACAGTACGAGGGGGATCAGGCCATAGTCCACCACGCTGGCCAAGTGCGGGTTGGCGGACGCTATCTGTATATCCTACATTAATTCACTTCTAAGACTTTTAAAAGGTAACCACTTTATTTATCGAAAAAATTACATACAATACAAAAATAAATAAACAAATATAAGTACTGTCCAATAAATAAATTAAAATGAGTGGGAATAAATACACGAATACTTAAAACATAAATTAATGATAAGTACAAATTCGTATTTGAATACTAACTACTGGAAAATGTAGTTTATTTATGTAATAAGCTATCATACTTCAGATATATTTAGAATACGTTATGTCCCGACAACTAGATTCAATAGCCAAACGAGCCACAAAATGATGAACGATGATTTTAATGTAACAGCAGATGATGTTCCATTCACATACATGACTGGCCACCAATGGTTGATTGAAATGATTTGATTATCATTCACAGGAGGTTTACTTGTTGCATGTTCTAACATATTATCAGGCATATAACTGCCGCACATGGGAAAATCATGGGGTATCGGCGCCATATCTTTATGGTCACCTACTTTAAACACCAATGCCATACCGACTTCCACATGGAATTCAATATGACAGTGGAACAACCAGTATCCAGGGTTATCTGCTTTAAAACGTATAACAGTGTAACCTCCATCTGGTACTGTGACCGTGTCTTTTAATGGTGCATTTTTCAAATTACGTTTCAACAAGCCCATCTCATCAAATTTTTTGACCTCTTCGATAGTTGTGTTAGCAGCAAGTCTTCTCAAACCGACTACACGGAAATTATGACCGTGTAAATGAAATGGATGATTTGCATCGAACGTAACTCCTTCATCCACAATAATTACTTCTACAACCGAGTTTTTTCTTACTGATAGAACATGAGGACATTCGCAATAACCGTTTTTACAGCTTTCGTCTATACTTGAGGCGTTGCAGAATGCATCAGGCGAAGGACGTGTCAGTAAAAGTGGGCTCGATGGCATTTTCATACTGATGTGGTTCAACTGTGGTGTGTACAGACGATTGTCTGGATGTGGAACTGCAATGAAGGCAAAATGAATTAGGTTAATTATTTTTTTTCTTCATTTTTACTTTCATGTCGCTTGTTATTTTAATAATAAGCATAGGTAAAAAGTTATAATTTAATTTTCATTTAAAATATATTTCAATCAAATCAAATATCAAAAATATATATTTTTATTGAAAATACTTAATAAGTACCATAATTTCATGAAACGTATTTTAATCTTCAATACGCCGAAGATATCAAAATTTTTTTGTTATTATCGAGAGGATAATAATAAAAAATAAGTTTATTCACTTTAATATGGAATGCTTAAAGTATTTTACGGATCAAAGATCACACTTATAAGTTCAATCAATAAATCTCTTTTCGTATTAATTTACTTTTTTAAAAAGCAGACAGATCGAATACTTTATAGAGATTGGAAAAAAATTATTACAATTTTATACTTAAACTTAGCATAAGTATAGTATTAAGTATAAGTTCAAAGGACTTAACCTCTAAGTTTTATTCAATTTTCACTTTGAGATAGCACTTACCTTGGTAGTATCCATAATAAGGGGAACGATGAAAATGTGAATTATTTTTCGCATAGAAATCGTAGGCAATATAGAATTGATAATCAGCTATTTCCTTTAAACTGTCGTCATATCCTTGTAGAGATTTCATCTCGGCCACGCTTATTGTCTCGTCTTCTTCTTCGCCTTTATTCAAAGCATTTAATTGCTGGAACAAAATGATCTTGTTAAAAACACTTTTCTTAGTAGCCATGAACTAATTTTAACCGACATCAAAAAAAGAGAGTACTCAAATCGGGTGAATGTTTTTTTAGTGTGAATTTGAAGATAATTTCAACTGCTGTTATTTTACACACTACATAATTACTTTGTATATAACTTAAATTTGCTGCATTTTTAAAAATCGAAAAGAAAATGCAAGATATTAAACATTGCAATTCAAAATAAATATTTAAAATAGAAAATTGATTTCTAGATTTTAGAAAAAATGCTGATACCTAAGATTAAGTTTCATGTTTGTACTATTTTACTTAATAGTTTCTGAATTATATGTATATCTTCCTTCGAGGGACACGCCTTAATCATTTTATATAAAAAATCAAAAGGTATCACACAGAACAAACCAAAAAACTCACTGTCATATGAATAATATAAATAAATATATTTCTTTTATATATACAGAGAGTTCAACTTAATTATTGAAATGTGACAAGATATAGACAGATAAGACGTGGTCTTCTGTGTAGCGGTTTCCAATACACGTGCACTCGTGATACACGAGATCAATAAAACATATTAAATAAAGACAATCTTAAAATATGTCTAAATTGTAAAGCTCCAAGGAATTTGTGAATTTTAATCAATTTTAAATTTTAAACGATATTATTTTTATATTTTAAATAAAACTACCTTTTCGATTTTTTTATTTTTGGTTCCCGACGTTTCGAATACTTTACAGCAGTCATGGACACGGGAGAGTCCCGCAAAAAGATTTTGTTTTACTTAAAATGTCAAATATTCCCGTAAATCTAAAAAAATGTTAAGATTTTATCTCATCAAATGTGTTATGAATCTGCTAGACTCGTAATACAATTGCAAGCCATTTTTATCATAATACGAGTACAATAGAACAAAGTTGTTCATGTAATCTCTTTTTAAAGTTCATGTTTCGATAACAACCCTTCAAGCAAAACCCACAACAGTACTGCAACGTTTATTTTTCCTTTTGGGACGTGATTATGCTGTTTTCATTTCCTTTCACAACACCGTGAATGGATTTTCAAGCTACATTGCAATTATCTTTTCAAGCAAATAATAGGTAGGAGTGTTATTTTAAAAGATAGTAGCGGTAACATATCTCAGTTAAAATAAAAAAAGAATTTCTTCTATCTTTCTTGAAATTAATATACAATTAATCACGTATATATATATATATATATATATATATAATACTAATCTATACATATTATTATATGAATATATATATATAAATTCAAGTCGAATCTGTGTTATTTTTTTTGGAAAATCTTATTGAAATAGTAATTATTATTCATAGATAAGGAGGCCGAATCTAAAGTTTTTAGAATTTTTGTCTTTTTTGTCTGAGAATGCATCACGAAAAAAACATTGGACAAATTTTGATGAAATTTGGATAATAATAGCTGGTTATCCGGGTCAACATATAGGATACTTTTCACCGTGGGAAAATGTCTTATTTTTGAGAAAAAATACAAAAACTGCAATGTAAGAGTATACTACTCGTAATACGTAAAACCTAAGAATATTGTTTTTGGTCATCTGAACGCGGGCGTAGCAGCAGGCAGTGCTAGTTTCGCAATAAATAAATAAAAATTACGGACAAGTGCGAGTCGGACTCCCCCACCGAGGGTTCCGTACAAATTTGTAGGAAACTTCTTTAACTTTCATTTTCAACTTTTTTATTTTTTGGAATATTTCCTTTATTTGTGCTGTAAAACCTTGCCGTTTGCCAAATTTCGTGATTATAGGTCTAAAGTAAAAATTAACCATTTATTCGCTTTCGTCTATTACAAAACCCACACACAGATACCATACAGCTTTGACAACTTGCCAATCCTTCAATGAATTAGTTTCAAGAAATAATAATAACATAATGAACACATAAAATAACTACGTGTGGATGCTTTTCTTTACTATAGACCTAGTATAGTTTTGTTTAGCATAGAAATAATACACTTACATATTATTAGCCCATACAAGTATAAAAGGAAATTCGCTTTATAGTCATTATCATGGCGATAGTTTCTCGTTTTGATATAAATATTGCAAGACTCATCTAGAAATAATAACAGCCGCCTTGCTAACAAAAACTTGAAGGCTTCTATTATAACAACTATCAATATTTCCAATACAAACTGTTATCCCCTTTTTCACCCGCTTAAGGGATGATTTCCGGGATAAAATGTATCCTATGTCCTTCCCAGGATCTCAAACTATCTTTTTACCAAACATCTAAATCGGTTCAGTAGTTTCGGAGCATATTCGGTACAAACAAACAAACAAACAAACAAAAAACTAAAGGGGTTAAAGTTTGTGCGTGGAAACAACTTAGGAACGAACTGGAGCGAAGCTAGGGTGAGTTGAGTTATCATAAATCTGAGAATTAAATGCTCGAGCACCAACGTAAAAGAGAGTCTCAGTCCGATAATATATTTAAAATATGAATAAAATAGCAAATAAAATATAAACTTACGAGGCCCTCATTATGTAATTCTTCCCACGTTGGATCGCCTTCAGGCTCAGCCTCAAAAGCTCCTTCGTAATGCAAAACAGCTACTTGCTTTGCTTTTGTGAATCTGAAATACAAAATATACATTAGTTCTCTCTGAAAATTTTATATATAAAAATCTCGCGTCATGGTGTTTGTGGTGGTACTCCTCCGAAACGGCTTTTTTAATTTTAATATTTTTTTTGTATATATACCAAATGGTAGGCATGAGAATGAGTTGTAAAGTACTTTTAACCCTCTTAACAACACCCCCCAATCTTTAATCGCGAATTTAGGATTTTTGTATGAACAATATCCAAATAATTTAATATTATATAAATACATAGGTACAAACCCGAGCGAAGCGCTGATGAGTCGCTATATTATAACCTAAAGCAAAAGAGTTTTTTTTGTAGATTGAACGCGGGCGAAGCTGCGGGTTCTGCTAGTTATCTATATAATACTAGCGACTCACCCTCGCTCCGCTCGGGTTCGTCCCTGGGGTGGGGTCTGGGAGGACCACCCTTATCCTTATCACTTAGGGGTATAAAAAATAGATAGTAGCCGATTCTCAGACCTACTGAATACGTATATAAAATTTGGTAAAAATCGGTAAAGCCGTTTCGGAGGAGTACGGTAACAAACATTGTGACATGGAAATTTTATATGTAAGATGTATATCGCACTACTATTATTGTTAGTATTTGTGTTTGTGTGTTGAATGTGACTCATCTACGCTAAAAAAAACTGAACGGATTTGGATGTAATTTAAAACAGTAAATAGATCATAACCTGGAGTTGCACAAAGGATACTATGAGGCAATTAGGTACGCTAGGTAGAGGGGATAAGTCGCTACTAATATATAAGTAACACATTATTGGTGTCAATGACTACAAAATACATGTATGCTATATGGGAGAAAGCTTTACAATTTTTTGAGTTCAAATTACTTTAAAATTTCGTTAATCAAGTTAGACCCAATTCAACCGTGAACCAAAATCTTTATATAATAAAGCTATAAACATTTTAAACGTACTATCGGATTTTTAATTTTCTTAATAAGTTTTTAAACTTAACCACAGCTTTACAGATCCGTCGGTCATAAGCGCAGTTATATCGTGATCTTGTTAGAAAACAAAAACAAATCCATCCCACGGGAACCGTACATTTTGCGAAATAAAAAATAGCCTATATGTTATTCTGATGTATCAGCTGTATTACTGTAGAGTTATATCAAAATCCATTTAATAGTTTTTGCGTGAAAGAGTAACAAACATCCATACATCTATACATCCAGACATACAGTCATCCTCACAAACTTACGCAATTATAATATAACTAAATTAAATTAAAAAATTAAAAAAACTTCGACCATTTTGGACCGATTTTCATCAAACATAGCTAAGAATACTAATTCGACTAATTCACCTTTCAGAAGAAAAAAACAAAATCAAAATCAATTCATCCATTCGGGAGATACGATGCCACAGACAGACACACGCAGACACGTCAAACGTATGGCAGCCCGTCAATTTTGCGTCGGGGGTTAGCAATTAGGATTTTTAAAGTTATATTCCTTTTTTATCTAAGATATATTTATTTATTAGTGTTTAATTACATTTTACAATGGGTAGTATTATAATAAAAAAACTATTAAACTAATTACTTATTAAAAAAAAACTAAATTAAATCAGCTTTTAACATTAAAAAGGAATTTGATGCCTTTTTTGTAACTAGATGGTGCGATTTCAATTCTCAAAACTACGCGTGATGAAATAAGTAAAACTCGCACTTTTAGTGTACTACACTAAAATTTCAAAGTTTTTTTCAATGCCATTTGATAGTTTATTCAATTGTTTGAATGGATTTAAAAATACCATTCAAGACATATAATGTATTTTACATAAAGCGAGGTTTATTATTGATAAAACTCTGAACTAAATAGGATACGCTCAATTTAGAATTATTTATATGGAAATTAAAATGGAATAATTCCGAGTTGGGGGTAAAAGCTAGTCTAGCAAATCTACTAACAAGACAGAGTAATATGAAAAAATTATAACATTTTTTAAGTTAATAAAGACGTAAACTTCCGTTGATGGAACAAAAGAGAAAAAAAAAACAAAAGAAAGAGAACAAAATTGTTACTTTCTGGACATTTTTAACTCAAAATCAACTATGTATCCGGAAAAATAACTAAAAATAACTAAATATCCGGAAACACGTAACATATGTGTATTTATTACGTTATGTTTTCGTTAACCCTGTTTGTTATTCTCTGAGTCAGTGGTCCGGGATACAGCTATCACTGTCAATATCGCTGGGATTCTACGTTTGAGCTTCGGTCGAGAAACGTGCACTGATTCTAACTAGTTGGAATCACAGTATAAATTTCGAGATCTTACGTAATACCTCAGTAAAATTACTTATAGATAATTAATATTTAGTTAGTGTATTAGAATATTTGTCTATTTCTTCCTCAATTACAATACCAGACGTCAATAGCGAACTACAATGTAGTATTTTTACTATATAAAATGGCTAAGAAGGTAGTGGTAGCCCAGTGGTAACACACTCGCTTGGTTAACCCAGTGAAGCGGGTTCAAATCTCGGATCTCGCACCTCTGATATTTTCATGTGCGAATCATTTTCAAGCTGATTACCACTTGTCTTACGGTGAAGAAAACATCGTAATGAAATCTGCATGTCTGAGATAACCTAACAAGTTTTCGAAAGACATGTGAAGTCCGCCAACCCGCACTCGGCCAGCGTGGTGGATTATGGCCTGAACCCCCTCATATTGAAAGGAGGCCTGTGCCCAGTACTGGAACGTCAGAAAGGGCTAAATCCAAATACAAAATAGCTACAACACCATATGTTAATCTTATTCTTCTTCTCCATGTCTTTACTTGTCCCACTCTACGTGGGGTTAGTATAACATGTTTTCTTCTTCCACTTTCTTCTATCAACCGTCATCTCAGCAAATACACCTTTCACATAGGTACATACTCTTTTACATACAGTCCATCTATACCACATATCTTAATAAACACCATATCTTAATATTTGCTTATATAAGCATTAAGTATAGACTTAAAATTTAAACGATAATGTGATTAAACAATAACTATTACATATATTACAATTGTTATTTCCAAAACTTTTTTTTTTAAATCACTGGAACGAAAATAATTGTGTAAAATAGCTGCAAAATATATAATAAAAAATTTTTCTTTAAAATAATACTTAAAGTTTCGTCACCATCGTTAACGAAGTTCGCTCGAGACAAAAGATCCGACCAAAAAATAATAAAAGTACTCAGTACTTCACCGAACTTTATCGGGCGAATAGTAAGTGATTTATTTTCTTTGATTTTTTTTTACTTTCTACTATGAAGGTAGTGCAATATTGTCCGAACTTTTTTGTACTACTTTTTTTTTAAATTTTCTCAATTCATACACAGATACTGGTCCTGTTAAAATATACAAAACCACTTTAAGAGAAAACATTGTTAAAAGATAAATTTTTGCTTTAAAAAAGTATTCTGAAGATGCAAGACAGACAGACGTACTGAAATAAGGTGTATGTTTTTTATGTATGTCATGCGAGATTTGTACGGAAAGCGAACTGTCTCTGTTCTTTTTAAACCCCGACGCAAAAAGAGGGGTGTTATAAGTTTAACGTCGATGTCTGTCTGTGTGTGTGTCTGTCTGTGGCATCGTAGCTCTTAAACGGATGGACCGATTTTGATGCGATTTTTTTCATTTGAAAGCCAGTTCGAAGCCAGATGGATCGTTAAATGACAATTAATTTGCGTACTAGGCTTTTTAAATTTTTAATTTATAATTATTTAATTAAAAGTTCAACCTTTAAGCACCTATATCTAACTTTTTTATATTTTGTTTTGGTTAATGGCAACCAAATCTCTTAACGAGATTTATTTCTGTCAATAACAATTGATCTATTGAAATAAATTGCAGACCAAAATATGGGTGTTTGAGTTCTATTGCTTTTACATAGATTCCATCGAGATTAATTTTTCCGTATAATATATCATTTTTTTATTATTGTTTTAAAGTTGACACTTCTAGTTTATAAATGATTATTTTTTTAAGTACCTCTCGTCACAATCCATAAGTCCTCTAAAGCGAATCCAGTAGTTGTCGATTTCGTTGTTAGCTTCAAGCACGAAGTCATAGCGCTCCCCCGCATACGTAACAAGCGATGTTGCTGCAACAAATATATTTTATTAAACTTTATATAAGTTATACTAGGTACGCTTCAACAGTTAGTATAGAATATATAGACTAAATCTATACTAATATTATAAAGAGGTAAAGTTTGTGAGTTTGTGACGTTGTAGGGGGTAATCTCTGGATCTACTGAACCGATTTGGATTAAATTTGGTAAGAAGATAGTTTGAGACCCTGGGAAGGACATAGGATACTTTTTATCCCGGAAATTATTTCTTAAGTGTGTGAAAATGGTGAAAGATTGAGACGAACCCGAGCGAAGCGAGGGTGAGTCGCTAGTATTATATATTCTGAGCTTAAAACACTTAAACATACTATAAACATCGGTTTTACAAAATTGTGTGGAAGTGTGTCCGATTTGTTGACTTTTATGATTACTGATCCGCTGCCTTGAGCAGTAGTAGCATGATGATATATAGCCTATATATAGCCTTCCACAATAGACGAGCTATCTAATGCAAAAAGAATCTTGCTAATCGGATAAGTAGTTCCTGAGATTAGCGCATTCGAATAAACAAACAAACTCTGCTTCCTTATAATATTATTATAGATTATCAGTACTTATAAATAAAATCAAGATATTTATCATTTAAAAAATATTTATTAAAAATTATTTATCATTTTAAAATAGGTACTCCAAAATTAGTATAAAAAATGTCTGTCTGTTTGAATCCCAATCTTCAGAAAGACTGCATATATTATAAGAAGCTTTCACTTGTAACTAAAAATTAAGATGAGTGTGACATAATCTTATTTTTATCTTACGAATATTAAAGTATTCTCTGGAAACTTAGAAGATAAAACGGTCAGCTTAACAGATTTTTTGTTCGTCATGATGAGTGAGAGGAGTCGCCACTCACCAGTAAAATATATGTATATAAAGTATGTAAAATACATAATATATTAAAACTGTGAGAGAAGGTCATTTTATTTATTGAATATTTTTAATTCAACAATTTTTTTTGGGGATTGTGTTCAATGAAATCGATTTTATCTGCTTCTGTGGCTGAAAGAATTGCAATAAAATACTATTTCTTTGTACATAAGCTGTGGTGTAAGTATCTTTCTTACACAGGCAAGTATCCATTTCAAACGATCGAGTGAATCTGAAAATCTTTCTGGAATAAAATTGAAACAATATTTTAAAAATCATAAAATATTTTATGGACTAGCGACTTACCCACGCTCCGCTCGAGCCCGTCCCTTAGTACGTTTTAATGGTTAGTATAAATGTTTCAGAGATGAGATATTTTCCCGCAGTAAAAAGTTTCCTAAATGTTGACCCGGATAGCCAGTTATCATTATACCAAATTTCATCAAAAACCATCCAGTGGTTTTCTGGTGGTGCATTCCCAGATAGACAAACAGACAGACATACAAAATTTCTAAAAAATCTGTATCGATACTAATGACTATGTCAATAAGAATTTCGAAAAAATATTTAATGTGCAGATTCGACTTAATTAAAATTTTATTGTATATATAAACAAATATAGATAACAAATTAAATTACATAAAGTAAATAATAAATTTCGTCTTACAATTCCATTTATAAGCAATAATTAGCTTAAAAGCATTGAAACTTTATGACAGAAGCGGTTTTTCATTCATTCATTTTACTTTATCATTCATTTCATTTCAGCTAGCAGGAAGAAATGAACCTTGATTCGATTATTGTAAAGAAATAAGATGACTTTTCTCAATCTTTGAATTTTCAAAGGAAAACCTCAATCCGATATCGAAAGGCTAAATGAAAGAGTTTTTGTGATTGCTGATTCGAATCTTTTGGATTTTGTTCATTCGTGCTGGTGTCTCACTGTTCATATTTACATGTTATGTAATTTTAGACGATATTCTAATAGCTTATAAATAAATTTTGCTTAATTTTAGCAACCATTATATACAGTTAGATACATCCGCCATTTTGTTTTTAAATAATAGAATTAGTGTAACATTAATTTTCATTAACTTATTGATGAATTATTTTTACACTTTGTATGACGTAGGCACTAGAGGCAACTGCTTCAAATATCAATTATTAAAAAAGTTTATGGCTTAATAAAAACTTAAAAAAAAATGAAAATCGACTTCAAAAAGACACTAAAAAATAACTGATTGGTAGTTTTCAGAATTAGATATTTTCGAAGCGCTGTCTCAGTTTTTTCAAATCAAACAGTATACCTTCATATAAAAAAATCTTAAATGCGTGTGTTCGTAATTCTTCTCTTCCTTGATAGTTTAACTGGGTCATCTGGTTCGTTCTTAGCTATGGGATGGGACTCCCAAGTGGCGCTTTTGTCATGATCTAGAATTTACTTGCTTAATTATCAGAGCAATATTTTGCTTTTGATTTCTTACATAAAAAACATATAATCCTAAAATTTCAGGCTGAGCGAAACGGAACAGATTGCTAGTATTGTATAAAATGTATTGAAACAAATATGTGATGCGTAAAAAAGCTCGGCTACTAATGGAATGTCAAGCCTTAGAGGTTTCAGCTTACTCGACGTCTGACTGATAGGGAAATGATTGTTTTTTTAGAATGTACCTACTTTTGTGAGTATATTCAATTATTATTTTCTATAGATTGTGGTTTTTATTTAACGTAAAAAAGTCCACAACAGTATGGTATATCTCCTAAAGTACGTTCAAAATAACTATTTTCATCTATTCAAAACGTAACTAAGACGCTAAAAATAAAAGCTCATAGCTTTTCCGCAAATGAGTCAATTTATCTTAATTACACACATTTTCATTAACAAAAAAACTGAGTAATATGAGTAGTTTTACATGTGTCGTTACATACCGGTCCATTAACATTTTATTCACTTTTAAGAGACGAAATCTGGATTTTACTAGCAAATTTTTAAATGGTTAAAGTAGGCCAAGTTAAGTACAAACGATTTTCGAGATTGTCGGCGTCGTCGATGAAAGAGGTGAGATATGAACAACTGCCAAGTTTCATGGTAGATACTGAAATTATAGTTATAAACTGATAAAGTTCTTCTATTGATTGAATGGGATAATTTTACATTGAATTTGTAATTTGACAATATTTTTATGTAAAAACTAGCGGAACAACAAAGACAAATCTATCCCTCGGGAACCGTGTATTTTTCGGGATAAAAAGTAGCCTATGTATTATTCCAGACTATAATCTATCTCTGTGCCAAATTTCATCCAGATCCGTTGAGCCGTTTTGGCGTGAAAGAGTAACAAACATACATCCATACATACATTCTTACAAACTTTCGCGTTTATAATATTAGTAGGATAAATTAACGTAAGCAACACAAAATAGAGCCACTAACAAACTTATATTTTAAATGCATATCAAATGAGTGTAATTAATTTATTTTATATGTTTACATTATTTTACTTAAATATGCATTTAAATCAAATATGCATTTAAATAAATAGGCTTCATACCTCAAAATTTGAATATTTTCTCAAACAACCATGATATAATTTCATTACTTCGTAATTACCATGATGTTTGCTAATAATCTTAATCAAATGGAAGAATAAAATGACGACGATGAAACCAACGAAAAACAAGATGAAAGCTCGCTTTTATTATAGAAAGCTTACGTAATTCTGACGTAATGACCTTTTAAAATCTAGACCGTATCGTTTTTATGAGGTAGTTACACTAAATAGTAAAAATGTATAATATAAAAAAAATTATGAGTATCATGGACATAGTTTAATATCACAGGTTTGATGACCGCAAAAAACGTATGTTTATATTGATCATATAGAAGTTGGACTGCCTCGTTGGTCTAGTGGCTACCATATACGGCTGCATATCTGGAGGTTCTGCGTTCGAGTCCCGTGTCTGGTCAAGTTTAGTCATCAAGTTTTTCTATTAAGAAAGTTTCAGTAACATTCAATTGGGAAGTTAGCGGAGTTTCACCACTGTGCCTCGGAGAGCACAGACCGGACACGCGACAGACCTCTCACTGATTGTGTCGAATTATTGTCCTATTGGAATTTGAGAGTGAAAGAAATGAATGCACTAGTGTCTGCGCATACACTTGTGCACTATAATATCTTCTGCGCAGTTGGCTAGTCTCAGTCACATTGGCTGCCGTGATCTGAATCCAGCAGGAAGTTTGTTTCTTTTTAACTAACAATGTGATAGTCATTTTAGCCATTCTTTTTTTATTGGTTTTTTTAACAAATATCTCACACATCGAGGCTCGAATCTTTTTACAACGTTATATTTGTATGTATTTAGCCCTTTTTTTAGCATCCCACTCCTGGGTACGGGCCTCCCTTCAATATGAGGGGGATCAGGCCGTAGTACACCACGCTGGCCAAGTGCGGGTTTTGAGTCTATTGAATAATTCCCAATTTTATATCTCGACTTAAGAAATGCTAACAAATAAATATTTATATTAATGGGATCAAATAGAGGAAATACGTTAACTATCACGTTACAGAATAAATAGCGTTACAAAAAATAATTTATTCTAAGTTTAATAAAAAGTGTTTAGATAAAACACAGTTTGTTTTTACTTCTCTCAAAATCAATCTCGGAAGATGTAGAAATTGATGTTTTTCTAACATAAAATTTTATCAGTATCGCTTTAATTCTTTCATATAAAATTAATAAAGCAACATCTTACAGCTGACGCCGGAACTTATTTAGGAAGCTTCTTGTTATTGAAAATCTTTTAAATCTCTTTATATCATAGGTTTTTGTATAAAAAGGCCAATCAATAGTAAAACTTAACTCTCTAATTAATCGTTCATTTACTTATCAAGACCTAGAATTAACCTAAACGTATACACTTATTTCAATTTAAAATGAAACTGTTTAGAGTTTTGTTGGGGTTTTATTTTATACTTTACATTTTAACGTTTAGTATAGAGATGAGATATTTTCCCTTAGTAAAAAGTATTCTATATGTTGACCCGTATAACAAGCTATTATCATACCAAATTTCATCAAAATCTGTTCAGTGGTTTTCT